CCCGTCTCTCACAAATCACACCGCAGGAAGTGGTGGGCTCACTCGAGTTGAAGTCGTCTGGGAGGCACAGACGAGGCGTCACTGGTTCCACCGCAACAGACAGGAGGGCAGGTGGGGTGCGCAGGCACATCGGCACACAAGTGTAACTTTGCAGTCGTGCTGCCCCTCCCCCCGCGCACATCAACAATGAAATCGCCAACGCGAGCACAGTCTGGCCTGGCCTTGTTTTTTACACAGATGCGCCAGAGGCGCGGGCGCGGCGGCTACCACCTCCTTCCGCTGTCTCTCTTTCAAATCCAGAGGATGGGTTTCTTGTTATTCTCCATATTCAATGGATGGGGTTTTGTTATTACTCCGACCGCGCTGACTCCTTCGATTCAGCCCCCTCCTCCTCCTTCTGCCCCCTTCCTCCTCCTCCTCCTCCTTCCTCCGACCTCCTCCTCACCCAGAGTCACACTCAAATGTTATGCTATGTTATGGCATGTTATGTAGTGGTATGTTACGTTTGACATTGTGTGCCATATTACGTTATGCTATGTTTTGGTGTGGTATGGCATAGTATGGTAGGTTTGCTACGGTATGTGATGTCATTTTATGTCATTACCCATGTCTAAAGTCTGTGGTTCTTGTCTTCCCATTTCCGAAAGAGCGTGTTCTACCGCTGCTGGCGGAAAGCCGGGGGGGTCATTACTGGTTCGAACCCCTCCCCCCCCCTCAGGAAAACTGGGGGGGGGGTCACTACCGGTTCGAATCCCTCAACCCCTCCCCCCCCCAGTTCACAATGAAAAGGGGGGGGGTCACACTACCGGTTCGAACACCCCCCCCCCCCTCGAAAACCGAGGGGGGTCACTATATACCGGTTCGAACCCCCCCCACCCCCGAGGGTTGGCCGCCGCGAGCCCCCATGCGGGAAGAGGGACTGTTTTTCCTCCACCGCGTCTTGAGCCAAAAGCCCACAGACACTGAAATCCAGAACCACTTGCATGCAGGCGTAGGGTCGCACCGTATATGAGTGGCTCTCTGCTCCTACACTGCTGCTGGCGAAAACCACTCGCATGCAGGCGTAGGGTCGCACCGCATTTGAGTGGCTCTCTGCTCCTACACTGCTGCTGACTTCTATATCCAACAATGAAGAAGCAGCCAACATGTCACGAATTTCGGTGCTGGCCATCCCGGCCGGGTTAACGTCACCGCACAATAGCAAACAAGACGGGCATTCCAACGTGCTCCGGAAACGCTGTTCCGGAGCACGTTCCAGCGTGTTCCGGAAACGCTGTTCCGGAACACGCTGGACGGACAGGCAGGGAGAGGTATCTGGAACATGCGCTAGCACGGGGACCTGCAGCACGATGCAACACACTGGAAGCGAAAGATGCCCAGGAGCTAACCTATTCACGGGTTCTGCCGGAACGCGCTGTGCACTCTCCCGAGAGTCCAACAGACGCACCGAGTCCGTGACATATTTGATGCTGCTATAATGCTAATGCTACGCTCCCTGACCCACGCTCCTCCTCTTCGGTAGGGCTCTCCAGCCTGCCCGAATCGTGACTCGCTGGGGCATGGGAGCGCCAGCGTCGCAAAGACAAAAACACCAAGTCAAATGTCATCTCAATGTTTTAGGTGGCGCTCCGACGCCGCTGCACAGCAGAGGCCCCCGTTATCACTGATGGAGGGCGTACTCGACGAACGACGCGACCACGATGCCTGCGGCAATATTTACACAGCCCGGAGGCCGAAGTGGTCGCTGATCCAAGCCATGGCGGGCACCGAGAAGACCTTCGTGAGACCATCTGCCCGCTGCTCGTTCGACCCGACGTGGTCGAGCAAGAGGGTCTCGCTCTCCACCCTGCTGCGGAGGGCCGACGCCCTGTTGGTGAGGGCGCGTGTCCTCCAGCTGCCCTGGCCCCGGGCCAAGCACAGCGACGCAACGTTGTCGCCCCACATCCTGGGGAGCGGCACCTGCACCATGATGCTCGCGAGGCTTGCCTCCGCGCCCTCCAGCATGACCAAGCCCATCGCCAGGGCCGTAATTTCAGCCTCCGCCGTAGATCTCGCCACCTGCGCCTGTTTGACGGATCGCCAGTCGATGAGGCACTCCCCCAGGTACACCCCGACGCCGGTCTGGGAGTATTCGGCTTCGAAGTTGGCGTGGGCGAAGACGTGCAGCTCGATCTCGTTCCCGTCGCCGCGCACCGCCTGGAAGACAAGCCCATGGCGACGCGTGCCAAGGAGGTATCGCATGATACGCTTGCCAAGGCGCAGCGCCCACTGAGGCGCTGTGGTCGCATGTGCTGACATCTGGCTAACTGCGAAGGCGATGTCGGGGCGGGTGCGCCCCGACAGCCACAGCAGCCCGCCGCCCAGCTTCTGGGCGAGGCGCGCGTCACCGAGCTCGGGCTCCGCGCCCAGCTCCTCCCCCAGCGGCTCGATGGAGATGGTGCCACACGCATTGGCGTTCGTCATCTGCCACCTGGCCAGGACATCCTCCAGGTAGGCGGCCTGATGGGCCACGAACGCCCTGTTGGCCCTCGCTTCCACCTCTAGCCCGAGGTACCTGATCGTGCCGGGATGCGCGCGGTCAATGAGAAATTTGACCGAGCACGTCCAGGTCGCCATCATCACTTCCTCCACTGTTGTGATCGTCTCGGGCGAGCCAGAGATCAAGAAGTCGTCGACGTAAACCAGCACCAAGCCAAGCGATTTCTGTTCGCTCTCGGTCTTCGTCGGCACGTCCTCCACTGCGCTCCAGACAGGGGCGTCGCAGCGCGACTGAATCAATCGGCACCTCGTGCCATTGACCTCGAACCTCATAGCCCGCATCTGCCTGTCCCGCTTCAGGCCCCAGACTCTGGGGGCGATGCGGAGGCCGTAGATGCCCTTCTTGGCCCTCCAGATCTCGTCGCGCCCGACGAGCCCGTGCGAAGACAGGATCCCTGGCGGGCGCACCAAGACCTCTCCGGCCTCCTCGGGGAGGGGGGCATTCAGGAAAGCCGTTGACACGTCCAGCGCCTTGAGAGCCCAGCCGCACGAGCTCGCGATCGCGAGTGCGGCTTTGACGCTGAGGATCTCGACGTTGCTCGTGAAGACGACCTCACCCGGCATTTGCTTCTGGAAGTTCCCGCAGACCACCCCGCGGAATTTCTTGCGCCGGCGCTGTGCTGGATCCGACGCCGCCGGCGCCTTGATGCCAGCGACCCCCTTCATAGGGAGCGCGTCCTTGGCGCGCACCTGCGGCTTCTCCCCCTCGGTGAGGGCTTCGAAAACTTGCTTCTCTGAGAAAGAAGCGAGCTCGACCTCCATGGCCTGCTTCCATTCCTCACGCTCGGTGCCGATAGCATTCCGCAGCTCGGTCATTGACACTGGCTGCATGCCGCTGTCCTTGATGATCTCAACGAAATCGGGCGTGCCGTCCGAATCCGAACCGGCGGCGGCGGCAGCGGCAGCTGGGTCAGAGGAGGCAGCCAGAATTCGAGGGGCATCGGGCGAGAACACCGCAACCTCCGCCGCCGCCTGCTCCTCCTGCTCCTCCTGCTGTTCCTGGCGCCTGCTTGCTGCGAAGCCGCAGCCTCCGATGGTCACGAGCAGCGTCAACAACGTCAGTCGACGGGCCCTGGCGGCACCCGTGGTCGTACGTGTGCCCACGGTGTGCTCCAAGGCAGGCTGGGCACGTGATGTCCTTCGGCGCCTCGTCCAAGATGCGGAGGGGGTTCAGGTCCTCAGCCTCCTCCTGCTTGGCCTGCTGCTCCTCCTCCTCCTCCTGGATGTCCTGCTGCTCCTCCTGGCTGTCCCGCTGCTCCTGGTCGTGCTTCTCCTCCTCCTGGTCGCCCTGCTCGTGGACCTCCTGCTGGCCTCCTCTTCCAGGCACGGCGTCGACGACGAAGCTTGACGAGGTCTCAAACTCCCACCTCTCGACGCCGTTCTGGGCGACCTTGTGGCCAACCAGGGACGCTCCGGACACGAAGTCGCAGATGCCGAAAATTTGCCGCGGCACGGCCCGAGGCGCGAACGCAAACTGCGGCACCTGCTTGATCCTGCAGGTGATGGGCTGCCCGCAAATCGGACACCCAATGGGCTTTCCCTGAGCCGCGCGCCGTTGGAGAGCTGCTGCGTGGACGACCGCTGCCGGCCACAGCTGCTCGCGGTCTGCCGCGCCCACTGCCAGCATGGCTCTGGCCCTCTGCTTGATTATGCCGATGCCCCTCTCGGCGCGCGGGTTGTTATCGGCCTCGTGCCCTGGGGTCGATGTGACTACGATCCCCTGGGTGGCAAGCGCTGCGCTCACCTTCGGGCCCGAGAGCTCCCGCGCCTGGTCAGCGTGGACACGGTAGACCACGCGCGCCTGGAACTCAAGCTCCACCTGCGCGATCATCAAGCGCAAGGCGGCCAGCACCTCCACCGTGTGCTTGCCGGCGAGGGGAATGACGTAGTACCACGTCTGCACTCCCTCCTTCTCGACGAGTCCGTCTGCCGGCACTGCCGCCACCGCTGGCAGCGCTGAAGCCCGCGTGACCACTGCCAAGGCGTCGTCTGCAGCCAGCGGCTGCTCAGCCGCCGCAGCGGCAGCCTGCTCCAACTGCTCTCCGGGTCTCTCGCCTGCTGCTGCAGCTGCGGGCGGCGGCAGCCCCGCGGCGCCGCGAGCGTGCTGCTCCGCCACAGCGGCGGCGGCGCGCTCAGAAGCAGTCATAACCGCGTAGGCGCCGAGGACGAAGTACCGCGCCCTCTTGGGGCGGTCTTCCTGCTATGCTCCTGGCCAGAGCCCTGCAGGGTGGGGGCCAGATATGTCCGCGGACAGCTGGTCTCCCAGCCGAGTCCGCGCATCCAGCCTCCAGTGCGCCCTCACACGCCCTGCCGCCAGGCGGCATTCGTAGCAGTCGGGGCGGAAGGACGGATGTCCACGCCTCTTGTGCTCCTCCAAGCTGAGGCGCTGCGCGGCGGCCACGACGACGTCGAAGTGCGCCGCCAACATCTTAGCGCCGGCTCGCGCGCGCAGCTGCTGCCTCATCGTGCGGAGGCGCTGGGCGTCGTCCTCGTAGATGTACGCCGCGGTGCCCTCGAGCTCCAGCTCGATCGCGCCCTGGCCCGGCAGCATCACGCGGGCTCGATCCCGACCCCGCCGAAGATCGAGGCCGAGTTCGGCGACGTAGGCGCCGATCGGGAACAGGGCCTGCAACTCCGTTGGGGAATGGACATGCGCCACCTCGTCCGTCCCCATCAGCACGCCGGCCTGCTGGCCGGTAGCGCGCGCGAGGTCGATGCGCTGGCACGGCACGGGCGGATGCTGGTTTGGCCATAGGTGCTGCAGCTCATGCGTGGCACCGGTGTCAGCCAGCAGTCGGCGTCGGCCTGGGCCTCCATGGAGCGCGAGTGCCGCGCGCAGATCAACGCGAAGCGTTCAAAGGTCGGGCTGCTGCTGGGGAGGGGATGCTGCGGCGTTGGGCGGGGTGCCGTTCGACCCCGAGGCTCCCACTGGCTGGCCCCAGCCATCCTGCCAGGGAGGGCCAGCAGCAGCGGCAGCGGCTGAAATCGGGTAGAGGCTCGCAGCCACAGCGTCCCTGACCACCTGCTGCATCGCCTCGGCGGTCGGCGCAGTCGCGGGCGCAACTGCGATTGCCGACGCTGCTGACGCACCTCCTGCGGCGGCGGCTGCAGGAGGCTTCGGCCGTTGGCACACTGCCTTGTCATGGTCCTCGGCCCCGCAGTTGAAGCACCTACCCTCGCTCACCTCGAGCTTCCTGTGGTGGCGAGTGCAAGTCACGCCGAACTTGCAGCCAGCTTTGCTGTCGAAGAACCAGCACGCCTCCTTACCTCCTGTCGCTGCCTTGTCAGCAGGTTTCGCCTTCGCTCTCACCTTCGCCTCGGCGCGGGCGTCGGGCTTGCCGCCCTTAGCGTCGGGCCTGCCCTGCTTGCCCCCGCCTTTGGCGTCCTTCGCCTCCCACGCGGCCGCCAATGCCTTCACGCCCTTCCCCTGGGGCGCGTCGCAGAGCTCGCGAGCCTCGGCGGCGAGGTGCCGCCAGAACTCGTCCACCTGCTGCTGCGAACAGTGGCTGGCGCCCGAAATGCCGTGCTGCATCTCCCACGCGAACATCCTGTACTGGAAGTTCGCGTCGGCCTCGGCCATGCCCTTCACGATGCCCCGCAACGTCGCCAGCTGCGTGACAGGGTCCCGAGCGGCCATTCCCAGACGCTGCAACCGAGTGAGCGAGAACTTCCACGAGTTCAGCTCCTGGTAGCAAAACGCCAGGGCAGCGGCCTTGTTGTCACGCCGCTCCACCTCCCTCAACACCAGCTTCCGGTCGCGAAGGGTGCCGGGCCCGGCCTCCACCATGATGCTGAAGAGGCGCTCGGTCACCGAAGTCTGTCGGGTGGCCAGCGCGCCTCTCTGCACCTGCTCGGGGACCGCGTCCAACAGCAGCGGGCGCAACCGCAGCTCAATGCTAAGGCTCTGGCGATCGGCTCCGAGCCACTCGGTGTTCGGCTTCACGAGCGGGCGCTCGAGTGGGCCGCGGCTGAGGTAGTACTCATACGCCTCCCTCGCCGCGCGTTCGGACCGCTGCCAGAACAAGTCGACGAGGGGATGCCACCCCCCGATCCTCATGGCAGCTCGCTGCACCCACTCCTCGAAGGCGTGCGCCTTGTTCACGCCGGCGGCGAACGCCAGCTTCGGCACGTCGCCGTCCTTCAGTTTCGCCAACACCGCCTCCAAGCAAAACGCGGCTCCTCGGTGCTGCTCGTCGGCCCCTGCCGACGCGGAGACGGCAGGCGGCGGCGGCGGCGGGGGCGGGCCGCCAGCTGCAGGCATCCACGCGCCACGCCCTGGATCACCCCCAAAATCACCTCCACCTCCAGGATGTCCTCCAAAACCTCCTCCATCTCCACCACCTCCGCGTCCTCCTGGCGGTCCGCCTGGAGGCCCGCCCGGCCATCCATTGGGCCCAGGGCCGGTCGGAGGCAGCCCGGGCGGCAGCCCACCGGGCTGCAACGGCGGCTGAGGCATGCCGCAAGCGCCGGCTGCCGCCTCAAAGCCAGGCACCTGAACTCCGCCAGGTGCGACTGCTGCTTGGTCCGCGGCCGACGCTGCAACGACCTGGTCGGCGTCTGGCGTGGGCTCCCCGAGACCGGCGACGGGCGGAGCCACCTCCTCGGCCTCGCCGTACTCGCTGCTCGTAGCCTCGGCGCGCGGCGCACGAGGCATCGATGGTGGTGGAGCACCCTCTGGCGCCACTCGCCCACCAGCAGAGGGCTGTCCACTGGCCTCTGCTCCGCCGCTCGCCTGCGAGGGCGGCGTGCCTGGGTCAGGACGGCCCCCACGCACTGGGGTCCGATACCCCAGCGTTGATGCCCCACTTTGGGCTGCGGCTACTGCTGCCGATGCGCGGTCGGCGAGCCGCTCTGCCTCCAGCTGCTCGTTCCTGCGGCTGAGGCGCTGCACCTCCATGCGCAGCTCTCGCAGCTCCGCCAGATGCAAGTCCATAGCAACGGCTGGCGGTCGCTGCTGGTCCTGGCTCATGTCGGGCGCGTCCGCCCTGCCAGTGCTTTCAACAGCTGCTGCCAGCAGCTGGTCGGGGAGCTGCGGCTGAGCAGGCAGCGGCATCATCGTGCCCGCCGCCCACGTCTGGCGCGCTCACGCCGCAGCGCCGATGGCAAGGCGCTGCACTCCAGTCGCGGCGGTGCTGATAGTCGCCCCCACTGCGTGGCTAGCCATCTGTGCGCCAGACGCCACGGTGCGGCCAAGCTGTCCTGCGAGACCGCTCGACCAGGCTGCCTGCCGACGATCGTGCGCGATGTCGCGGTCGGTGAAGCAGGCAAAGCAGACTGCATGCCCATGCCAAGGCTGCATGCAATGGCTGTGGACGTCGGTGAGGCAGATGTCGCACACCACCGACGGGCCCACGATGACGTCCGAGCATGCCCTGCACCGCGCGCGCATCAGCGCAACGGGCGGCGGCATCGGCGCTGCTGGGAATCCGTGGGCGAGCGGAGCTCCAAGCGCAGGGTGGTAGAATCCCTCGCTTGGGCTCATAACCTTTGAAGGGGCTCTACTGTTCTCTGGCCTCATTCTGACCAGACCCGAGCCCCTTCTACAATTTCTCACTCAACTCCGATTCTGGGTCGACCTCCGGGGGTCCGGCAACGGCCCCGAGATAGGCCACGAGTTCGTCCCGGGAGGCTGGCAGCAGCCGCAATGGGCCCCAATGGGGCCGCGGTGCCACGCCGAGGACGTCCCTGAGGACCCAGTCGGCTGTCTCAGCCAACCGTAGCTCAAGGGACCAATTGCGGGACGCTGCACTGCGGCCTCCCCAGGCGGGTTGGCCGCCGCGAGCCCCCGTGCGGGAAGAGGGGCTGTTTTTCCTCCACCGCGTCTTGAGCCAAAAGCCCACAGACACTGACATCCAGAACCACTTGCATGCAGGCGTAGGGTCGCACCGCATTTGCGTGGCTCTCTGCTCCTACACTGCTGCTGGCGAAAACCACTCGCATGCAGGCGTAGGGTCGCACCGCATTTGAGTGGCTCTCTGCTCCTGCACTGCTGCTGACTTCTATATCCAACAATGAAGAAGCAGCCAACATGTCACGAATTTCGGTGCTGGCCATCCCGGCCGGGTTAACGTCACCGCACAATAGCAAACAAGACGGGCATTCCAACGTGCTCCAGAAACGCTGTTCCGGAGCACGTTCCAGCGTGTTCCGGAAACGCTGTTCCGGAACACGCTGGACAGACAGGCAGGGAGAGGTATCTGGAACATGCGCCAGCACGGGGGACCTGCAGCACGATGCAACACGCTGGAAGCGAAAGATGCCCAGGAGCTAACCTACTCACGGGCTCTGCCGGAACGCGCTGTGCACTCTCCCGAGAATCCAACAGACGCACCGACTGCGTGACATATCTGATGCTGCTAATGCTAATGCTACGCTCCCTGACCCACGAAAGCCGAGTGGGGGTGCGGACAGTGGTGGGGACGGTGGTGGTGGGGACAGTGGTGAGGGGACAGCGGGACAGTGGTGGGGACAGTGGGACAGTGGTGGGGACGGTAGAGGTGGGGACAGTGGTGAGGACAATGGTGGGAAGAGTGGGGACAGTGGACAGTGGTGGGGACGGTGGTGGTGGGGACAGTGGTGTGGGGACAGTGGGAATGAGGTGGAAACAGTGGGACAGTGAAGGGTACAGTGGTGGTGGGGACAGTGGTGAAGGCGGTGGCGAGGACGGCGGTGGGACAATGGGACAGAGGTACAGTGGGGACGGTGGTGGGGACAGTGGGGACAGTGGTGGGAACAGTGGGACAGCTCAGTGGGACAGCGGAGGAGTCAGTGGGACAGTGGGGACAGTGGGGATAGTCGGGCAGTGGTTGGGGCCGTGGAGAAAGTGGGGAGAGTGGAACCGTGGTGGGAACAGTGGTGGGGACAGTGGGGACAGTGCGACAGTGGTGGGGGCACTGGTGGGGACAGTAGGGACGGTGGTGGAACCAGTGGGGACAGTGGTGGTGAGGACAGTGGTGCTGGGAACAGTAGTGGGGGATGTGATGCGGACGGTGGTAGGGACCGGGAGTCGTTTGCTGGCGGTGAGTGGGGGGGGGGGGGTCGAACCGGTAGTGACCCCCCTCCGGTTTTCGACGGGGGGGGGGGTTCGAACCGGTAGTGACCCCCCCCGGTTTCGAGGGGAGGGGGGGGGGGGGGTTAGGGGAGGGGGGGGTCTGCCGGGGAGGGGAGGGGGGGCGGTCCAGCAGGGGGGGGGGATTTTCGGAGGGGGGGGGACCCCCAGGCTCCGGAGGAAGAGGGGGGCAGTTTTCCACAGTAAAACGGCGGTGGATCACGCTCTCTCCCATATCCAAAGGATGGTTTTTTTGTTATACTTCGACCGCTCCGAGCTCACTCCTCCTCCTCGTACTTCTCATGGTATGGCATGCCATGTTACTGTATGACGTTTTATGTCTATGCTATGTTATAGTATGACATGATATAGTAGGTTATTGCATGGTATGCTATAACATTGTGTGTTTATGCAATGGTTTGTTATGTTTGTTCTGCTATGTTGTGATATGCTATTGTATGTCCTGTTATGTTTGTGCTGATGGTGATGGTGATGGTGCTGGTGATGATGATGCTGCGTACGGTGATGACGGTTGTGATGCTGATGATTATGATGATGCTGTTGATGCTGATGATGATGACGACGGTGCTGCTGCTGAAACAACTGATGATGATGCTGATGATGATGATGACGATGACGATGCTGGTTGTGGTTATGATGCTGATGCTGCTTCTGATGATGATGATGCTGATGATGATGGTTGATGATGATGAGGATGATGATGATGATGATGATGATGATGCTGATGATGCTGATGATGATGATGCTGATGATAATAAGGAGGAGGAGGAGGAGGAGGAGGAGGAGGAGGAGGGCGGGGCAACTTCTGAGGATGTCTCGAGCGAGGCGCGGGTTTCAGCACCCCCAATGGGGAGCAGCCAGGGGTATGGCACTCTTCCGCGTGCGCCAAAGTGGCGCGGATGTCTCGAGCAGTTTGCCTGTTTCACCACCTGATATCATCCGCTTTCGGAGCTAATTTTTAGGATGCCTCTAGCGAAGCTCGGGCTTAAGCACCCCCACGGGGGAGCCGCCAGGGGGAATGGCACCTCTCCGTTCGCGCTCATTCTGCGGGGATGCCTCGAGCGGTTTGCCTGTTTGCCAGCGCAACATCCCCCGCATTCCGAACAGATGTTGAGGATGCCTCGAGCGAGGCGCTGGTTTTCGCAATCCAGGGGGGCCAGACGTTGAGGACGTCTCGAGCAGTTTGGTTGGTTCTTGGTGGCCACATTCGTCTGCGTTTACAGTAGATTATGAGGATGTCTCGGGTGAGGCGTTAGTTTCAACAGCCCAAGGGGCCCAGAGGGCGAGGATGTATCAGATTCTGTTATCCTCAAACTCACTCGTGCTCAGACTTAGTCGTACACAGACTCGACCCTTTCAACCTCATACTCAGGCTCACTCGCACTCAGACTTACGCACAGGAGGGGCTCCAATCCCAGGTGTTTCACGTATGTTCACATCGATTGGGCATCTCCTGGGGCATGAGTCTTTAGTGTTGTATGTATGCCTATATATATATATATATATTGTCCTCCTGTGTCTCCAAGCATACGTGTTTTACATCGGTTCCTATATATATATATATATAAAAATAAATAAATATAATGGGCCTGCCCTGGTGCACGACCCCCTAGTGTTTTACGCGTGCTCCTATAGACTGCCCCTCTCCGGTGGCGCCAATCCGCGTATGTTCCAATAGATTGGGTATTTTCCTGAGGCACACATCCTCACCAGGAGGCTCCAGGAGGCTCCAGGAGTCTCCAGGAGGTCCCAGGAGGCCACACGAGGCTTCAGGACGCCTCAGGAGGCCCCAGGAAACCCCAGGAAGCACCAGGAGGCCCCAGGAGGCTTCAGGAGGCCACACGAGGCTCCAGGAGGCCCCAGGAAGCCCCAGGAGGCCCCAGGAGGCACCATGCTCATGCGCACAGGCTCACTCGTACTACTGAGGGTCATTCACACTCCAACTCATTCACAGTTATACTCTTCTCAAGCCCGTTTAGATTCGACGTCTCTTGCGCTTGGACACGGCGGAAAGCTCCATGCAAATAGATGCACATATGGGGATCTCCAGGCAGTGAACAATTACTCCGACCGCGCCGGCTCTTCCTCACACCTCCCCCTCCTCCTCTCCCACACTCAGAGTTGCTCATACTCAGGGTCACACTCAGGACCGCTAGTCAGGTGATGCTGGTGACGACGCTGATGATAATGCTGCTGATGATGCTGAAGTCAGTGATGATGCCGATGCTGATGATGCTGATGATGGTGATGATTCTGATGGTGGCAAGGGTGCTCATGCTGATGATGATGATGATGCTGATGCTGATGAAGATGGTGATGAGGAAAACGATTTTGATGCTGACGACGAGGATGATGATGACGATGCTGATGCTGATGACGGTGATGATGGTGATTATGATGCTAATGTTAAGGATGGTGATGATACTTATGGTGATGATGATGATGATGACGATGCTGTTGCTGATGATGATGTTGATGATGAGACGGATGGCGGTGTTGATGATGACGGTTGCAATGTCTCCGTTGTTGATGCTGATGATATTGATGATGTTGATGACGATGCTGATTATTTTGATGATACTGACGATGATGCTGATGCTTTTGATGATGCTGATGCTGGTGATGATTATGCTGATGACGATGCTGCTGCTGCTGATGATGATGATGCTGATGATGATGATGCCTGCTGTCGATGATGATATCAGGGATGATAATGCTGATGAGGGTGATGACGATAATGTAGCTGATGCTGCTGACGATGATGCTGATGTCGATGCCGATGCTGCTGGTGATGATGCTGCTGATGATGATGCTGATGATGATGATGATGATGATGGTGTTGATGACCATGCTGATGATGCTGATGATGTTGATGATAATATTGCTGATGCTGATTTCGATGGTTGATGTTGACGAGGTTGATGATGATGACGGTTGTGGTGGTGATGATGGTGATGACGATTATGATGATTTTGTGCGTCTGGTGATGTTGACGTTGATGTTGATGATGATGCAGCTGATGATGAAGCTGATGATGAGGTTGATGATGATGTTGGTGATGATGATGATGCTGAGTTTGATGATGATGATGATGATGCTGCTGATGCTGATGATGATGCTGATGCTGATGCTGATGATGCTGATGCTGATGCTGATGCTGCTGATGATGATAACGAGGATGATGCTGATGATGATGCTGATTATGATGATGGTTGATGATAATGATGCTGATGATGGTGATGCTGCTGATGATGATGATGACCATGATGATGATGCTGATGATGATGATGATGATGACGACGACGATGATGATGATGATGAGGATGGTTATGATGAGGATG